ATGGGAGCCCACCATCACCACCATCAGAAAAAAGGCCCAGCAGAGGATGTACTTCCTGAGGCAGTTGAAGAAATTCAACCTATCACCACAGTCAATGAGGCATTTCTACACCGCTATCATCGAGTCCATCCTCACCTCCTCCATCACCGTGTGGTACGCTGGAGCTACCACCAGGCACAAGAAGAGGCTGCAGCGTGTCGTGCGCTCTGCAGAGAAGGTCATTGGCTGCAAACTCCCCTCCATTCAAGAACTGTACACCTCTAGGACATTGAGGCGTGCAGGTCAGATAATAGCTGACTCGTGTCACCCTGGACACAGTCTCTTCGACTCGCTCCCATCTGGCAGAAGGCTCAGATCCATTCGGACCAGAAACTCTCGCCACAAAAACAGTTTCTTCCCCTCTGCAGTTGGACTTTTGAATGAAAATCCTAGGGCAGCCCACTCAAGTTGATTGTCCCAGTCACGTGACCCGATGCTGTGCTTGAACCATTCAACAAATACTCAGATTAATACCTACACAGAGTAGATAGCTGCTTCTCTAATTCTTGCCACTTTTTACATGATTAATTTTATCATGAGTGTTTTATTAGTTCTTATATTTGCTTATCTCATAATTATTTTTTTTCTATCTTACCTTCTGCACCAAAATACCGCAGCAATTTCCTAATGTTGTGACTTGGCACACATATGGCAATAAAACCTTCTGATTCTGATTCTGAGGAAGTCTTACAGTTTGAGATGGAGCTGAATGCTATGAGTAAAAAAGTTGCACAACGTCCACCCGGCTTTAGGGAGAATCAGGTTCAGCTGCTGTTGGAAACAAAATAAATATGACACTTTATTTATTCCTATCTTAAACTGAAGTATTTGTCCTTTTGCATAGAAAATGTTTAAAATGTAAGTATGCATGATAGGAAATATGTGATGTTGGTCACCTAAAATGCTTTAATTATTTTTTTATGAGAAAGGAACACAGCATATGTTCGTACCATTGTATGTCAGTGTCAGAAATTAAGAGTCAGACAATATTGGTATATCGGTAAAAATAAAAAACTATATTGAGCATCCCTAATCTGAATATGTGTTACTATACCTACTCTTATATATTTAGATTTTATTTTACATTTTATATATTAAGATTTTATTTGAAGTATTTCTTTTTGATTGTATTTCCCCCAATAGTATCAGGTTGGATTTAACTTTTTGTTTTTGGACTTGAGCTGAAATATTTATTTTTATTGAAACAATTTGAAACAAAATGTTTTCAAATGTGATACAACCTAAAAATCCTCACTTTTTCTATTTTAATCTCCCCTTTTCCCACATGACTCATCTTCAGATCAACCTATCTTCTTGTTCTTTGGCACAACACGTCTAAACAAAAAGAACCAAGTGAAAGGGTGGGGGTGACAACAGGGAGAGGGTGAAAGTGAGAACGCATGCCATCTGCTAAGCCAAAGGAGAACCGTTCCACTTCAAGTTTTGGACGCTGTGATGCACGAAGACGCATCCAAATCTGCAGTGGTACCCTCTTAGCTCGCAGTACTTTTCCTGTCAAGGCCTTTAATTACTTTGTAAACATGAAACATGGTGAGTGACACTGTGTCTGAGTGTGTCCCACATCAGGTGACTTCTCTGATGAAATTAAGTCACAAATTTGTTTCAAACTGTTTGGAGATGCACAGGAGGGACATCGTCTCCACTGTCTGCCATCTGCCAGTCTCTGCTTGTGTTTCACACAAAAACAATCTGCTTGTTCCTCCTCATACATCTTCTTACCTGTGTGTCGTACATTTTCTTCCTTTTTTCTGTCATAGTGCCTTTTTGGAAACATTTACTTGATATTTTTGAACTTTTCAGCTGGTGTGGTCAGCCTACTGAAGCAGCCACACACACACACACACACACACACACACACACACACACACACACACACACACACACACACACACACACACACACATACACACACACACACACACACACACACACACACACACACACACACACACACACACACACACACACACTCACACACCTCTGAAGTATACAGAGTGTACGAAGCCGCTTCGTGCCGAATGTGAGGACTGGCACTCATCACACTCCAAAACTACTGGTTACTTTGATGTAAGGCCAGATTGCTCAGGATCATGAGTTTGCACAGGCTGAACCATGAGTATGCGCATGTGTGTGTGTGTGTGTGTGTGTGTGTGTGTGTGTGTGTGTGTGTGTGTGTGTGTGTGTGTAAGGAGTTCAATTCTTAGAAATGGTGAAAGAGAATGCCTTGTATGTTAATATCAGCCATATATTAAAGTGATTAGACCGTGGAGCCAGAGTGACGAGCTCTTGCACAAACAAGTTGTTGTGTGTGGCTAAAACACACTTCACCTGTGTGTGAGACAGCTCTCTGGAACATTGACGCATGCCTTTGCCCCAAGTGCATCCATGCACCACACAGACCTGCCTTGTACATGATCACTTACTTCTGACCAATCTTAATCCCTCATCAGGGAAGTGTAAGAGCTGATGTACGGCACCCATTAGCCTTAAATTATACCCCTCATCCTGCAGCTCCCAGAGCCCATATAACTGTCAGCCCTCAGCTCTGGCCTCGTTGTGGCATTACCACCTCAACACTACTGCTTTATTAAGCTAGCTGCTCTAATTAATGACTTTGGCCTTTTCACAATAAAACAGCCACTGTAAGCCTGTGTCTTTGTTCAAACTCAACTCTAGCATCGCACACACATTCAGTGTGTTTCAGCATCATTTGTGGGTTCAGTTGGAACCAGCTTTTTAAATCACCTCTAATACCAAGCTGGAATGTGAGCAAACAGAACTTTGCTTGTCCTCTGTTTGGTTTAGTGCTAACCGATTTATGCAAATATAACAGAAAACAGCCTGCTTGTTTGCCACTCGGAGGCCTGATAGCATCGTTGCAGGCACCACCGCTCACATACAACGAAAGTTGAGTGCACTAATGCTAATGCACCCTGGATTGAAGCTTTTATCAGTTAGAAGACCAGTAAGCAGACATGATGCATTAATGCACCCCAAAACTGACTCATTATGAAAGGCACAGGTCTTAAAGTTCAGTTCATGCAGTCTCAGCGTAAATGTGAGACTAATACAGTGAAAGGTTATCTGCTTATGTGTTTTACCTGTGTGTTTTTGTCTTACATTTATGTTTAGACTGCATAAATGGAATTTTAATGCAATAATTGTGCCTTTCATAATGAGTCAGTATTTATTAAAGGTTTATTTATAATATTTGCATAAACCTCTATGACATCTTGAAGATGTTTTTAGTTTTTAGGCTTTCAAAACATCCTTAGCTCATCAGTCCCGTCAGAAATTACCTCAAATTATCTAAGCAGAGGCCATATTTTGGGGTTGTCCACACACTTGCACCAGCTAAATTAACTTTGTAACCCTTATATGCTCCTTGGTCATTGCACAATGGTCTATGCACAATAAGCAGAAACGCTATAAAAATTAGAAGAATATATAAAGGTTAAGAATGGATCTCTTTTAAACAAGCACTCTTAATGAAAAAAACTTCTTGTAAAACCAAGAAATGATGAAGAGACTGAGGAAGAGGAATCCTTGTCTGAGTCGGAACATCCAGAAGGATAAAAGTGACGTAGCTGAGAGCTGACCCAGTCTCTCCGTAGGAGTCCTATGGCTTATCTGGCCCTGTCTCATCAATGTGACACTTGTGAAGAGAACTCGTGCACACACACACACACACACGCACGCACGCACGCACGCACACACGCACGCGCACACACACACACACACACACATACATCCTGCTTGTTTGTGAGGAGTATTGAGAATGTGATGAATCTATTGCATAGAAGCCTAATGGTCTTTGCATCTGTATTGGCTGGAGGAGGAGGGGGTGAGAAGGGAATGGAAGGGAGGAAATGAGAAAAAGAGGGATGAAGGTGATGTGAAGCTGTTGGGGTTGTGTCATATCTGCTGAATTCTAATTGTGTTGTGTTTAATGACACACATGTCCTGTTTTACAGATGATTTGTAATTATTGACGAATGGGTCTCTGGTGATTAGGACACATTAGAAAATTAGACTATGACAGGATGGTTTGGATGATTAATCTCATGCTTCATGATTAAAACGTGGCTGGTTTGAGCGTGAAGCAATGCACGTCCTCCTCTAAGGTGTGTTTTAAAGGAAAAGAAAAACAAAGAGATTAAATGACTCCAATTGAACAGGACATTCAGAGCGACGCTGACTCAAAAAGGATGTGCTCAAGTACACAAGCTGTGATTGCAAAACAAGGAAGAATTTACACAAGATGCTGATTATTTATCGCAGAGCCCTTATGTTCGCACTCGCTGGCAAGCAGCAGAACAGCATCTGCAGTGTGTGTTTGAAATACAAGACACACACACACACAGGAGTGGTGAATCAGTCTGTGGGAGGAGAGACAGAAAGAGACAACAAGAACGGAGGAGGGAAGGAAGGAAGGAAAGGAGGGAGGGAGGGTGAATGAGCTGGTGTAGGGTGAGCGAGCAAAGCAATGAGTGAGGGAGAGGCAGAGGGAGGAGAGAAAGAGGAGGGGGATGTTGCTGCTGCAAATGTTTCTGCTGTCAGTCGGCTGCTTGCCTGCGAACAGGAGGGAGCACAGAGCAGAAGAGGACAGAGAGGTGGAAACGAGTCGGACTTTTATTTTATTTTCGTTATCCAGACACGCTGCTAGCAAGTAGATTTTGGTACTGGGCACAGATCTGCAGATCCATGGAGCATCAGCAGTGAGTATGACTGTCACTCTACTAACATCATTTTCAGCAAAGGGGAGAACCCACAGTCTCACACTGCAGGGAGTCTGGGTCGGTCATGACCCAGGGCTACAAACTAGACAGCCTTTGTGTCTTTAAACATGTCTTTGTCCCCTTTCTTCCTCTTTTCCCTGCAGTCTGCTGGTGCATGTATGTCTGAGTGTGTCACTGATGCTGTTGCTTGGCTTTTTGCAGGAGGGATGCTGGAGGCTAATGCTGCTAACTTTAGCATGACAGCTAGACCCAGAGAGTTGGACCTGAGGTCTGCGGGGGTCTCCTATCAGGAGTCTTCAGCCCAGGTTATGACCTCCAGGAAACCACAAGCCAAACCGTCCGCTCTGCCCCAGGGGCCTCCACGCCCCTCCGGGTCAGAGCTCAAGGTTTATCGGCCCACATCTGGATCCATCCCTATCCCCATCCCTAACTCGTCTGGACTCCGCAAGCAGCGGTCACTAAACAACTTGTGTGTCCTCACTGATGCCGAGAAGAAGCTGCACTTGTACCAGTCTCCCCAATGGAGTGATGATACGAGCCAGCCTGGAGCAGGAACAAACAAAGCAGGCCAGACCAAAGCAGGTCAAGCTGGTGGAGGGAGACCACCTCTCTCTCGGACACTTTCTAAGTCAGAACAGTCTCTCTTCCAGGGAAAGCCTAAATCATTCGGATCTCCGGCTCTGACCTCTAATTTGGGCAAACCAAGTCGAATCCCTGCTCCTGGTAGACCGCGAGGACCTTATGCTGAGGTCAAACCCATCAGCAAGTCCTCTGAGTCCAGCCAGGGTGCACACACAGACCCCGCTGACCCCCCATTTAAAGCCAACTCCAATGGAGCTGGAAATACTGGAACTACTGGCAAGAAAACAGGGGAAAAGGGAAAACTTGGATCTCAATTAGCAGATGAGAAGAAAGAGAAGAAGGTGACTGAGGGACAGGATGACAAGAGCTTTCTGAAGGTGGACCCAGAATTAGTTGTCACTGTTTTGGGAGATCTGGAACAACTGCTCTTCAGCCAGATGTTGGGTGAGTCTGCTTTGTGATTCTCTCCTCTTTTCTCCAGACCCAAACCTGTTCTTGCAGCTCATGCTACACCCAGGAAAAGCGAGGGCTTCCGTAGCTCCGCTGAAGTCAGCGTTTTTAGAGCGCTGACCTTGTTTCGCTGTTTATTTATTAGCCAGCAACCGAGTGTTTTGTCCCAGTCTTCACTGACCCACTGCCACAGTGAGCTAGATTTACATAAACCTGTCATCATCTCTCGTAACGCCTCCATCGTTTCTGTTTCAGCGTTTACTCCGACAGCTCTCTCAACGGTGAAGCTAAAATTACAAGCAGATTTCTGTATCACACGTTCAACTCGCCATAGCAGTTAATGGTGAGATCGCTGAGTCTCTGCATGACAGACCCAAACCAGTAAAGGTCATGTGAGAGGCACTGGTGGGGAGAGTGTTTCCATTCAGTAAATAAAACGGCTGCACGCCGAGCCTGGCTCTGAACACAGTGCCACATATTTAGCTTTGCAAAACTCCTCCCTCTCTCCCTCTCCCTCTATTGATCTTTGGGACACTGACAGATGGTCACTATCCACCCCACCCTCCTCCTCCCCCCGGTTCAAGGGTAACGTGTGGGAGGAGAAAGTGGCAGGTAACGGTCCACTAGGCGTGTTTAACGCATTTAGCATGTCCCAAGTTTTTGTGAAAATCATGACCAAGGTGTTCAAATCAGAAGATGTCACCCATTATTCACAGACTGTTTGTTCATCACATTTTCATCCTCTTCTCAGTGGAAGCAGAAAGAATCAGATGTGGAGACAATAGTGCAGCAGCTCATTAACTCTGGTTTGATGAAGAGAAACTGTCTTCGGCTCATCGTTGACTTCCTTTCTCATCCTCTCCTCACCAGCAGAGGTCCAAATATCTGCCAGGATGCTCCCGAAGCCTCATTTGTTAAATGTGTGAGTGTTGTGTGTACAAGTGTGTGAAGCTGCTGAACAAACCTTCAGCAAGCCAGGTGGGACAGAAAATGTCAAAAACAGAAAAGGGAGGTGGTGCGGACCAAACTGATGAAGTCGGATAAAACTACACAGGCAGCAGGTGCTTTTGCTTTCATCGTTTGTTGGAATTCTGGGAAAATCTTCACCAGCTGATTCAAACCCCATCAGGCTTCATCAGTACCAGAAGTGGTTCTGCAAACATTACATGTGCATCTTTTCATCTTCTTAGATTAAAATGTCATTCAGAACAATTGAAAATGTTGTTCTTAAAGATGTCAGTGTCACCTATCTTGGTGCTCAAATGAAGACTTCACTGATATCATTGATGTTCTGATGGATTTAGTGTATTTTCAAAAATTTGGAACAAGTTGAGGAGAAGCTACATTTTTCATCAAACAGAAATGAAGGCGGCAGATGTTGTGTTGAGTCATGTGTTAACATGCACTGTGCTCCAAACTAAGAGCACAGATTACAACTTCACATATGTTCCCAGAACACGGATTTTTTCAGTTGCTTTCATTTTTCAGACAATGATCTCCACACACCTAAAGTTGGGGCCTCATTGTGATTGCCAATATCAAGTATTTTTCATTTGTTAACTATATTCCAAGTGAAAAAAGCTTTATGCCATTGCCTTGAATAGATCAGGGAAGCATAAGTCAGGTTGGAGCTGCTTTCGTTGTGAACTTGTTGTTTTTAGCAACGCCTGTCTGATCCGTGATAGTTGGGGTCACAGGTGTTTGCCGTTATAAATTTGTGGGCTGGAAGCTAAGCTTTTTTCAGAAAAATAGCAATAAATAACAAAAAATGTTAACCCTAATTTGTTTTGATTTAGAGTATAATTAGGGAAAGTAGAAAACCACAATCATCTCAGCTAATCTGTTTTCTTATTTTAAATAGATTTCATCCTGACCTGAGTGACGAGCCTCTTGTACCAACAAGGATTAGCAAAAATCTGTACTATGGTGAAAAACGATGGTAATGTCTTTACCATGGGTCTGTTATTGTTTAAAAATAAAATTAGACTTAACATTTTTGACTTCCTCCTGAACGTGCATGACCTAGAGCAAAAATCAACCTGGGATCTCCATCGTTACGGGTCATCACCACAGCCGTCCCATAGGTGTAGTGCAGAAACCACAGCACGTGTACAGGATACTGTGTGTTTGTGTGTGTACACATGTGTAACTTTGCATGTGTGTGTTACAGAGAGGTTAATTGTAACTTGCCCTGTAGCTTGCAGCTGCGGGCTCATCTTTTATTGTATCTGCTTCCCCATTTCCGGCGGGACGCTCAGCTAATTGGGTTCTGCTCCATGCACTCTGTCATAGGGAAGATGGATTAAGGATGCTCAGTGGATCATTTCAGGTGATCCACCTCCTCATTTCACAGTTAGCCTTGTGTTTCTTCCTGCTTATAAACTAGATATTTTGCATGTTTCTAATAAATCAGATTATTTAGAAGCTATTTCAGCTAATAGCTAGGCCATGCCATGCTGTGTGAGCTGTCCTTTTAACATCAGCCTGCAGTTAAAGATGAATACAACAAAATCAGAGGACACATACACCTAAAACCATCACCTGTGCTGGTGAAATCCATCTCTCTGCCCACGCTTGTTAAAAGCAAAGCAATTTTGGATATTTCAAAGTTAGGATTAGTGCCTCCATTATCCATTACTGCACTTTTTTGAGCACCGGTGGATTAGAAGCTTTATGCTTATTGGATTTATTGAAATGTTGTAGATTTGTTAAGGCTAGATGGTGATGATGAAAATGAAATGTTGCCAGTGAAACGAGCAGATCAGTGAATCACACACACAGCTCGTTTTGTAGTAGAACTCTTTAACGCTGAACCTCAGATGTCTCCTTCTAATGACCCTCCTGCAGGTCCCATCCAGCCACCCATAATGAGGTGTGTTTGAGAGGGTAAGCCCCCAAAGCACTGGCTGTCCCCAGCATGGGGCAAGTATGGTTTAGAGTGAATCTGAGCTAAAACCCCTACCAAGCTTCCAGATTAAGCCCCGCATAAAGATAATGAGTAGATGCAACCTTTATTCCACTAATCACAGATCTATTACCCTGAAAAAAGGACAGCTGTGTAGTTTAAAGTAAATTAAAGTGAATTAAAGATTAAAGTCTTCAGTACATCTGCCGGATTGGGAATGGTGCGTGGTCCTGGTTTTGGACCAAGATAATCATCACGTGTACTGTAACCCACCACAAGAACACGACGTGACTCATGGATACTTTAAAAAGCAGCTGACTAAACGTTCTTGTTGTGTAGTTTGACGCTGAATTGCATGTGGGCATGTGCGAGTGGTTCTGCTTGTATTTGTAACAGCTGCCTCTGGAACAATAAGTCCCTCAGAGGAAACCGGCAAAGGTTTGACAAGAAGACGCACGTGCCTGTTCAAGGGAGATGAAGGATGCTGGAAGAAGCATCGCCAAAGCATTGCTGCTTCCTCAATCCAAAACACGCTAAATGCATGACACGTTCAGCCACTTAGCTCTCGTCCACTCTCCATGTATTCATCCTTTTTAGGCTGTGACAGAGTAGTTTTCACACCCGCGTCCTCCATTGTGAGCAAAGTGATTCTCTTATGTGATGCGGGTGTGGTCGGAGCGACTGGTGCTGCCCTGGGCTTTGCAGAGTGAAGGAGTCATGACTCTCATCAGGAGGAGCTGGTGAGAGGTTAAATAAACACAAATGCCAAAAAAGGAAAGAATAAACATCTCTCTCTCTCTCTCTCTCTCTCTCTCTCTCTCTCTCTCTCTCTCTCTCTCTCTTTCTCTCTCTCTCTGTCTGTCTGTCTGTCTGTCTGTCTGTCTGTCTGTCTTCTCCTGCCTGGTCTCTGATGTGAGTTGACAGCCAGTCACCAGTCAGACAGCAAGAAAGGATATTTCTGGTACGAGTGTTTCAGGAAGAGGACAGGGAACATCTTTACTGCACGTCTGAGAGTTTTCACATGTATAAAATTAAAACGAAACATTCACACACACGTTGATAAAAAATATATATACGCATATTAGTATTTTTATCCATAGTTGTTGTGTTTATTTGTGTTTGCGAGAAGACAGCAATGCATTGTGGTCAGTCTCTAAAAACTTAATGCATGAGCCATTGCATTAGTGCTGTCTGCTTCCTGCCATCCTTTCCTGAATCATAATAGTACTCAGAGTGTTTTTGTCTCATCAGCTCTTGCATAACATCAGCTCTCACGAAAGAATAAGGAAACCTACAACACTTTTACTGTCATCCCATTCATAAGGTTCAAAGGCTAATTGATAAAAGTGGAATACCACAGGAAGAGATTGCCTAAATGATCGAAGTAGCTGACGAAAAGATATCATGGTGTTTATGTTTATTTATTTGGCAGACACTTTTATCCAAAGCGACTTGCAATTTATAACCTATAGGGCTTGTTGTGATCTGTGGGGGAAACCGGAATACCCGGAAGAAACCCAAGCATGCATGGGGAGAACACGCAACTCCACGCAGAAAGGCCGCAGCCGAGTTTCGAACCTGCAACCTTCGTGCTGCAAAACAACAGTGCTAACAACTGCGCCACCATGCAGCCCTATGGAACTCTATGATGTTGCACTAGCACATGCAATCATGCTAAGTGAAGGTGGACAATCATTTGGACACGCTTCAAGAATGAATCTAAGTTCTTGTTTGGGTTTAATTTCCCGTTATTCCATGATGCGGAGTAAAGCTCAGCTAGATTAATAATAGATCTTACAGATTAACTATTAAAAGCTCAACTAACAATGCTGGTGATGCTATAGGAGTAAAGCTTATTTAGTTGAATTAATTTTTATCAAGACTAGCAGAGCAACTGTTAGCACATAAGCTAAAAAACATTGTTACATAAGGTGCTGTTACAAGAGGAAGTAAGAAAAATAGCTTTAAATAGCGTATAGTTTACATCACCACACAAGTACTGCTGGACAAACAAACTGCGTTTACCAATTGAAAAAACATGGACAGAGCATCAATAAAAACGACCCGACAGACACCATGTTGAAACGTTCGTGCTCAAACTGTTACTCATGACTCACAGTGCCCGAGTAAAAATGTCTCTAAGTTATTTTTTTACTCTCATTTGTGCCACTAGGTTTTACATGCCACCCACCTCTGGTCAAAAGCCTTTTTCGTCCACGTTTAAATGCTGTTTGGCCGAGAGTTCAGCTGGACACCTTTGTTTTCACCTCCTGAACACCTCCATATCGGAGAGTGTTGCTAGTATCGGCTTGTTATTGTTAGACGTAGGATCTTTCCCACCGGCAAAATGTTTGGAACAAACATTCCCCCTCCTCTTTATCTGCTCCACACTGTAAAAAACTGCTCTTCAACATAAAAACTGACACTGCTTTGCTTTGTCTGTCCTTAGCTTAGCCCAGTTTTCTTTCCAGCTGTTTCGTGTGGTCACAGTCCTTACCCAGCTTTGGAAAATAGATTTTAAAAAATAGTCAAATCTGGGTATCTAGAGTTTGATTAGCACTTCCCCCAACAGGAAAGCTTAGTTTCTTCCTGTTTGATCATCTTTAAGAGGCAAAAGTACAACTTTGAGACGAGACGAGTGACTCAGACCCATAGGCACCCATGCAAATTACACTCTTGCTTGTCTAGGGCTACATCCCACAATGCATCACAACATTACTTCACAATCTATTTTAGTTACTGTTGAAAACAGCTTATGTATGAATGTTAATGATCAGATTCTACTGTTTGTGCACTTTACATTCAAATTTCTTAAAAGGGAAACTAATGATTTGGCTAAATGTCCTAAAGCAGCCGTTTTTACACACACGACACCTCTTTTGTATGGTATGGTTAGAAATGTTTATAAATAATTTATTGATCACCTAGTTATAATCTGCCCACGTGTGTTATTGTTAGTTTTTCCAACATTGTAGTGGAGACGTGTGCTGCCACTTCCCCCTTTTTGGCCTGTCTCCTCATTAACAGTCGAGGCAGCGTGCAGACAGAGTGCAGCCTGTGTGTCCAACGTGTGCCGGAGAGCTGCAGCTGCGCTTCAGCGTGTCATAAAATACAGTTCCACAGGAAACAAGCCTCTTGAACTAAAATACACCCAAACATTGCCCCACACCATGGTTGGCCTTGGCTTGGTTTATTTGGTGTGTGTATGTTGTGTTTTGGTGCTTGCATGAATGTCAGTGACACCATCTGTTTTACTTAAACTCAAGCTGAAATGTTCTAGCTGTGAGCAGAAACGAGCGGTGCTACTTGCTTATTGTTCCTATCTTTAATCTCAACACACTTCAGAGATATTTCGTCTTATCCAGAGCAGATCAGCACAGATGAAAACACATTTACACATCCTGTTTTAGGTTTTCTGAGTAAGACTGGAGGTGGGATCTCCGATCAGGCTTACCTTGATGAAGAGGCCTTGACCTTCATCTGGTGAAAGTAAACTTCTCTTAAGTCATTTAAAGCCTCCTTATCTTAGTCCCCATAAGCGGATAGTGCTGTGGCTTTTAAGCAGATAGATCTGTACTTAAGGAGATATGCGGAGTGAGTTTATGTGGTAAGCTTGTGTTTGTGTCAACATTCAGAGAGCCAAGTTTTGTTGGGGGTGCACTGTGGTCTGGAGGGATCTAAACTCCAGAACATGTGAAATTCTGGATCTCTCTTCCTTGTAGATGCATCAACGTTTAGTGTTGTGATGAGATGTCTCCGTGCACTCGGAGGCAATCGCAAGCTCTCGTGTGCTCATTAACCATTCATGCTGCATATCAGACACAGTTTTAAGTGCTCCAATATCCTGTTGTGACTTTTCAGTGAACCAGTTGGATGCACATTTGGGTGCTTTAGTGTTAGTATGTG